GGAAATGTAACGATGTCACCCGTCAGCTGCTACGTCTGCCCTACGGCTTCGGTCCGTAGCCGGCGGCGGCTGGGCGTCGCGCGCACTGACGGCCGGCATCGCCCGGCGCGCAGGTGCGGTTCCACCCGACCGACAGCGGCGCTCTGGTCAGCGGCTCCACGGACGGCTACGTGAACGTGTTCGACGTGACGCAGACGACCGAGGATGACGCCCTGCAGGCCACGCTCAACACAGAGTCGTCCGTCAGCTCGGTTACCTGGTCAGTACTCCCGGAGCCAAGAAGGGAGGGTCAGTGGTCCCGCTCGGGAGGGAGGGAGGAGGGTCAGTGGTCCCGGTCGGGAGGGAGGGAGGGTCAGTGGTCCCGCTCGGGAGGGAGGGTCAGAAGTCCCGGTCGGGAGGGAGGGCAGTGATCCCGTTCGGGAGGGAGGGTCATTGGTCCCGCGCCCAGGGAGGGAGGGTCAGTAGTCCCGCTCGGGAGAGAGGGTCAGTGGTCCCGCTGGGGAGGAAGGGTCAGTGGCCCCACTCGGGACAGAGGGTCAGTAATCCCGCTCGGGAGGGAGGGTCAGCGGTCCCGCTCGGGGGAGAGGGTCAGTGGTTCGCCTCGAAAGAGAGGGTCAGTAGTCCCGTTCGGGAGGGAGGGTCAGCGGTCCCGCTCGGAAGAGGGGGTCATTATTCGCGCTCGGGAGGGAGGGTCAGTGATCCCGCTCGGGAGAGAGGGTCAGTATTCCCTCTCGGGAGAGAGGGTCAGCGGTCCCGCTCGAGAGAGGGTCATTAGTCCCGTTCGGGAGGTAGGGTCGGTGGTCCTGCACGGGGAGGAAGTGTCAATGGTCCCGCACGGGGAGAGAGAGTCCGTGGTCCCGGTTGAAGAGGAAGGGTCGGTGGTCACTCTCGAGGAGGAAGTCAGTGGTTCCACTTGGGGATGAAGAGTCGTTGGTCCCGCTCGGGAGGGTCAGTGGCCCTGCTCGTGGTGGGAGGGTCAGTGGGCTCCTCGAGTCCCACTCGGGGAGGGGTGGGGCCCACGTGGGAGCGGATACTACGTCGGTCGGGGATCTGCGGCGCCTCGGGTCGTGTGCCGCGGATCATGCTCGAGGCTTGCTGGAGCGTCGCCAGACCGCCGGTGCCAGGTGGGGAGCGCGCCGCTGCTGTGTCCCTGACTCGGCCGGCGTCGGCGACCGCCGGGGCGCGACCTGACCGCCTCCGCCGCCGCCCGCCAGGTGGGAGCGGGCCGGCCGGCGTCACCTGGCCGTCGTGCTCGACACCGAGGAGCTTCAGAGCTGGGACATCGAGGAGAGCGAGCGGCGCGGCCAGTTTGGCAGGAGCGACATCGCGGCCGCCATACGGGTGAGGGCGCTCGCCCGCTGCCTGGGCTCGGCGATCCGATCAGTCTTTATGAATTGCTGAGCTGTGCGTGAGCAATGTGGGTGGTAGATTGCACGTGGATCTGCGTGGAACGGAACCGAAAGGAAAAAAATCGAACCAGAACGAATGGGAGATGGCGTTGAAACTGAAACATCTAATACGCGATACATTTCAGGAGAACTTTGGGAATTCAAAGTAAATGGGTGAATAGCAGCGGCGGGTATAATTCCGGTTCATTGGCGCCTGCTTGAGTCAGTTATGCATGTTTATGGTATAAAAAAACGTTACACTCGTGAAAGTTGGGTGCGAGCTGGGTTTCACTGTTGTAATTTCAGCTGCGTCCCGTCTCACACGACGCCGCACGTGTTTGGAATGCTGTGTGGGTTTTCTGTGGTGACCAGCCGACGTCTCACCTGTGCAGGACGTTTCTTGTAACCATGCATGTCTGTTTTTTCAGAGGACCATGTATGAGGTGTGTTATGTTGAAGGCTGTCACCAGACAGCGTCCGGAGACGTCCTGGCTGTGGCAGGCGCCGTCACAAAGGAGGGGTGAGTGAGCCCTCTCGTGGCCCAACACCAGCGACACCTTGCGTAGCTGTCAGACACCAGAAGTACTCTACAGTACGGCCAGGTGCCGTTGTGGTTTGTTGATTGATCCGGATGCGAAGATGCCCGCTGTGATGACCGTGCGATTTGAGGAATAGATGGAGTGTCTCTGGAGCTGGTCGCAGTCCCCTGACGTTCTCAAGCATACGTGACGCGCATGCCTCCGCACGTGCTGTCAACACGTCGGGCGACCGTCCCCGTGCTTTGTCAGCTGTTTGACGATCGCAGACCCTTTCCTGCGGACAGAATTACACAGCGCTCGTTGATAATGAGTCTCAGCCAGACGTCTCTTGGCATCTTGGCGGAGTTTCAGGATTTAACTGTCGGTCGTTGTCAGGCTGTGCCAGCACAGTGCGTGGCGTGGCGTCCGCGCGCCGCGGTCGCCGCCGCCCCGAGCGGTGCGTGCCATGCGTCGGTGTAGCCTGACGTCACCCCCGCGTGTGCGCCGCAGACACGGCTGTCTGCGCCTGCTGCGGCTGGGCGACTCGGGATTGGAGCCGCACGCGCTGCTGGACGACGGCGAGGACCCCGCGCAGCTGGTGCGCGCCAGCGTCTACTGTCCCGCGGTGAGACCCTGCCCCGCCCTGGGGCAGTCTAGCGCCTGAAGCGGCGCCGCAGGCGGTAGACCGAGGACGGGGCTGGATTTGTCAAGTGCATATGGTGCGCTGCTTCATCGCTCCGCTGCATTTTGTTTGGTTGGTCTGGTCGGCGTGCCGGTTTTATACTCTGGAATGGTTGTAAAAGAGCCTCTGGAGTCCCTGCCTGTGTGACAGACTGATCTCGGCGTCGTATGCGTCTCAGGCGGGTGTTCCCCTCCGGAGTCTGGTCCGCGTCTCGTGGCTGGACCGCTGGCCATGCCCTCACACCCGGACCGCCCCACAGACGGGCGCCCTGGTGACCGGCGGCGAGGGCGGCGTGCTCACACTCTGGAAGCCCGGCGCCCAGCCCAGCGGCTCCAACAGGCGGCAGAGCAAGGCCGTCCACCATCGGCGCAGCAGGCATAAACAAAAGCCGTACTGACGTCAGGAGACGCCGCGGCCGCCGGCGCTGTGTTGTGTAATATATCGGACTTGTGATATGGTCGCCGTGTTTTTCAGAGCCCGTCCATAAACGGAACGTTCGATAAGAAACATTGCGGGAACGACAGGTCTTCATAGCTCAGGCTGCAACCTATGAGGGATTGGCAGGTGGTTGGCAATGCCACTCCCCTCCGTCAGCGATCTGAACTTAACCGTGACGAGCAGCAAAGACGAATTCACGCTGCAGGTGCCATGCCAGCAGCGCACCATCCCCGTCGCTGGGAGGGGAAGGGGGGGGGGGGGGCTGCCGGGGGCGGAGTGACTGCGCAATCGGCCTGAGCGGCTCGCGGCCGCATCTCCGTCTCGGCTGGAGACCTTGCCAATTATGTCGGTGATTGCAACGTCACACATGCGCAACGTTCGATACCGGACACCGGCTAATGTCGTGCGCGACCGTTGTCGGCTGGCCTCGAGCGGCGCCGTGTTCGTGAGCGCTCAAAGGAGCCCCGGTGTTCTTCCTGGGCATGACGCTACTTGACCGGTAAGAACGGATGTTGCGGGAGGAGGGCGAGGAGAGGCAGCGTCACAGCGACCGAGTTATTCCTTATCCGATTCATGACGTTTGAATTCCGGCGTAAAACGCTGATCCCGCTCGTTGCGTGCCTTTGATTTGTGGAGCGTTGCTTTCCTTGGAAGCGTTTTGAATTTGCATAGTAGCCGCGATGCGGAATGTCTTAATATGCCCGCAACGAAGTGGAAATCACCGCTCCAACATATACTCTAGATTCCTTCTGGGGTACACATTATTTGTGTTTGTCTTTCAACCATTATCCACCACGCCTTTAAACATGCTTAATCTTATGAGAGCAGATACAAAGCTGGCTGTCAAAGTTAAGACAACTAAGCAAAATAAACATCTGGCTTCTAAGCCGGTGGACTAAGCCGGTGGAGATTCGATACAACGCAAAACCTTCTCACGTCACTGGTTCAACTGCAACGCTCATACCACGTTGTTACACAATGTATTGCGTCACAACACGAACTATTGCACATAAATCAGTTCCCGACGTTGGAGTAAACGAGACCCTCGTCCTGGATTCCTTTGCACCATGTGCAGCAGCGTGCAGCACGACTACGACAGGACGACGCTCGCCCCATTAGTCGCGTTTCGGGTCCAGTATCGACCGACGGACCCACATCCATGCGCGGTTTACTGCGGGAACACGGACGTCACTCAGTTGTTCTTCCAGCTGCCCGCAGGTGCGTGCGTCACGCGGAACCCGATCAATTCCCTTCAAGGTTCGGCTATTGATCCGCGACAAAAGCTGCGTGCTTGCGTCGATCGCGGCGGGGTTAAGCCTCGATGCAGAATTACTACTGACGAAGCCATGGTGACTCACTTCGTGGTCACTTCACATTTCCTCGTAATCGCCGAGTAATATGAACGTTTAGCCATCTGCGTAGGCATATCTACGTTTATCCGCGGTTAGTTACGTCCGCGGCATCTAGGGTTTCGATACGCATTCCCAAATATGTTCCTATGGCGACAACGACGATGGATGTCCCAGAGGTGGCATAACGGCAAAGCCAATATCACTAGCATGAAACTGAGGCGGCAGATATTTGCACGAGCCATCACAAGTGTAGCTAGCTCGGCAGATCCGGGCCCAACCATCCGAGCATGATATGCAAACCGCCTCATACCACACAAACGCACACGTATAGCTGCCTGCAGTGAGCGCACATCTGCCAACCGAGCCATCGCCGGCACCGAACTCGCTGCCACCAGAAGACGGCGGACGCGGCAACCCTTGCCTTCTGCGACACTCATCACACATTGCCTGACATGCTTCATTCGCAAGTCAAATTTCTTAAGTGGGAGGACAAACGAAATCCACATAAATGTAAATGCATTCGTTACCCTGCCGAAAGCACACCAAAATAGGGCTAAAAATACACTACACCCTACAGGTCCGTGTCCCTGGTCCGCTACCGAAGTATAATCCCGAAGTGGGGTTAAGCGCGCGCGGCGCCCGGCCGTGACTGCGGGCTCGACAGACTGCTCAGACTCCGTCTGCGGTCGGCGCCCGCTCGTACCGCCGGTACAGAGTCTTCAAGTGCGGTCCAGAAGCACATGTTGAGCACGGAGTGCGGCCCGATTCGCAGCCAGTTGGCCGTCACGCCCTTGTAGAAGCCGCGCGGTCCCTCCGAGCGTAGGATCTTGAGCACGCAGTCGCCGTAGCCGCGATACTGCAGGCCGCGGCCCGACGCGTCCACGCCTGTTCCCGGGACAGCGAAGCACGCGACGTTATACGCAGCGTTTTTTTTTTTTTAGAGCGATGGTACCACTGCTGTCACCGCGAGGGCGGCGCGGGTACAGGGCGGAGACTTACGCGGACCGCTCTGGTCAGTGACGACGCGGACTCATCATGGTTTCGGGGACAATGTGGCTCAATCGGGTGTAGCTCAATAGCGTTCGCGTTACAACGGTGCGGTGAAGCGTTCGAACCTTACTCCTGGACCTCATCGTTCCCGCGGAATTCAGCGTGACGGATTTCGTCGCTGAATAACCCACCCTGTCGAACGCGTCGTAAAACCGCAACAGCAACGACTCACCTTGATTGTACAGCCGGGTTGCGATGACGTCGAACGGCGTCATCAGGATGACGACGGCGCCGCCACACAACATACTGGCGGCCAGGCTGGCGAGGAGGCTGCCCGCCGGCAGCACCTGGCAGCGAGCCGCCAACGAGCGTCAGCCGCAAGCCGAGTGCGCCGAGCCGCAACGGCACCGAAATACAGCACGTGCAACGATCTCAGACAGCTAGAAGACAGTGGTGTAGTGGCGATCGCTGCCTTCCATTCCGGATACTGAGCTGAGCAGTCATCCGCCAGTCGGTGCCCTCGCCATGGTCCCGTTTCCTGAGATCCAAACCCACCCGTCGAGTTTGTGTCATTGGTATGACACCGAACGCGATGTTTGATCGACAGCGACTTGTACCGACCATGCAGCTCACAGACGGTATGCCTGGCTGCGAGATGCCTGGATGTGCTTCATCTCCACATCCTCGCCCCAGCCTGCTCTGGATAGTTGATTGTAAATCCACACTCGCTACGCCGACGTCCCCCCCACTTCCGCGACGATGCCGTCGTTAGGGTTACGTTTCGGCGCACACCACCGCTACCACCAACAGGGTCACATTCCCTCCCGCCAGCCGTCGCTGGGCGGGCAGACGCCCAGCCGGCAGGGGTCCCGACTCCGGTCGGTTCGACGGTCAGCCGCACCTGGGCGCGCTCGATGTACTCGAGCGAGGCGGAGAAGGTGGTGAGCTGCGCTGCCGAGCCGATCATGACGCGCGGCAGCGAGGAGAGGCTGCCGCGCCACAGGCCACGCAGACCGTGACGCGCGTGCACGCCGCGCAGTGCCGACACCAGACCCGCATGCTGGTGCTGGTGTCCCACCCCGATCGTCTGGCTCTGTGTTTGGACGTGCACTTTCACCTGGTACAGCACAGAATGGTCAGATAGGCCATGAAGGGGACTTGGAGCACACAAATATTGTGAAAGTAATGCAGGAAGTATGCATTTCAGCCTCATATTCAGTGACTATTTTTTAAGTGTAACATAGTAGATATTTAGAGCATAGAAATGCTGCTGTTACCCTTCTTACTGCAATCAGATGCATAACCAATTGTTTGAAATCATGACAGGCCCCATTGCACCTTAAAAAGCTTCATAATCAATGTCATTTGCTACCAAATCTCCACCTTGGAAAGCTTCACGATCAATGTCATTTGCTGCCAAATCTAACAGAAGCTAAAGCTTATTGCCCACTGATTGCTATTAAAAAATAAATTACAGCATTTCACCCTTTATAACTGAGTAACTGCACACTATTCAAGATGGAACCACTACCTGCATGTCAGTAATGTGAGCAGCCATTGAGAACAGTAAACACTTTCAGATGTCTGTAAATAATCCTAATATATATTAAGCTAAACATGTGCAAGACATAGAACAATGCACCAACTCAAAAATTACCATGTAAAGTGGACTTGCAGCATACGTTCCCAAAGCACCAGCAAGAGCTCCTCCACATACATACTTCACTGGATCAACAGCATTCTTTGTTCTCATAACACCAGAGTCTTCAAGCATGTGAAATGTGCCTAGCCTTATACCATTCATTACCATTTGGTATGCAAGTGCAGGGACAAGCCCTTGTTGCAGAGACAGAATACCATCCGAGTGGCCAATGGCATACGCTGCATGAAAAACATTTCTATAGTAGACTGTGTATTTCCCCACTTGTTTCAACTCTCCTTGTAACTGCATTCTTGTCTTAATGACATCTAGGGGATTGGTGAAAAAGCCTGCACAGCAGGCTCCTAAGCCCCCAATGACGAACTCCATGGTTCTCAGGTGATAGCACCTGTTCTCAGTAAAGCATATTTTCTGCTGTAATAAAATAATCAGAGTCAAGTGGCCAGCACCAGGAAGAAACCAGCCACAGTCCTAACAAAAGCTGCCGTCACCAATCTCAGGGTAATGGCAGATCGGACATCGGGCGGAGAAAACCCGCGACGACGCTGCTGAAAACTCCAGTTCTTCAAACACAAATCCACAATGACTAAGCCTGGCATGCGCTGTAGTTGCATGATTCGCGCCATTCATGTGTTTAGTATTTTCTCGTCAACAGCTGATAAATAGAGCAAGAATCTGACGAATATTATTGCTTTCGTCAGTTTTTGCCAATGCTTGAACTAGTTAAACCATCTTTTCTTTTAAATTTTCAATCAGTTGTAAAAATATTATTATTATCTCTCTTATGAAGACAAATTATAAATCTGCTGATGCCTAAATGCTCTGCAATAAAGAAGAAATCGACCAGAGCCTTGGATCTTTTGGTGCCCTAAAAGCTTGTCTTCTCTATTACTTTCAGGCAATTCCGGTGGTGTGGGGTTTTAAGGTTGTAAGCTGTTTCATTTATTGCGTGATGTAATTTTGGGTGGCTGTGTCGACCACTCATGAACGCATTTTCGCGAAAGAGGAGTGATCTTTAGATTGCCTGACTTTTCACTCATCCAGATTTGGGCCGGAGCTGGTGAAAGAGCCGATGTTGGTAAGTAAACCGTCCACATTGTGGGGCGTATGCCATTGATAGCTTAGGCCGGCAATCACATCGTTTGGGCTAAGGTATGCGCTTTGTGCAGCTGGATTTAATACGTGCAGTTAGTTGCGCTTCCATGGTGTGATTGGATCTCCTTTTACGTCGATAAAACCCTTTTGCAAAGTTTCAAATTATTGTTTTTTATCTAATTTTTGAAACATGGTGAAATGGGTCTCGTTAGTCAGGCATGTGTATGAGGATGTCACTTAATACTTTTGTGAAGGCTTCAGCCCTTCAAATTTTCATGTGGTGCTACTGTTGGTTTGTGCATCGGTTTGGTATGAAATGTTGCATGAATTAAGGAAAACATTGGTACATCACAATGTGCCCATTCTTATGTCCATAGTTGATATCCATGACTATCCTGATCAGGTGAATGGTCATTTCACAAATGGTGCATTGACCAAACATTGTTATTACTATCTGTGAAGGTGAGCTGACCAAACTTGCTGGGAAAACATTTTTGGTGGCTGTTGGTTTGTCGGCAGTTATAATGGAGTGAAGCATTCAAATTGATTCTCCAGCCTGTATGCATAATTTGTAGGCTAGACAGGAGCACCATCTTAGGCCAGATATGCTACTTATTGTTGAAGCTTATTTTTTGGTAGTGCCATCATGCATGTCACTGTCTTCAGTGATGAAAGAGAAAAGATGGCAGTAGTTGCCCTTTGCTTTCTTCAGTTGACAACCGTAGCCCCCGCACAGTGTGACACAAGCGTAATCACCCACACCTCAGGACTGGGGCTGTCTACCGGCTGGTTGAGGCTGAGTGGCCGGAGCTGGCACTGCCGCGTTGGCCGTGCTGGGCCGGTTTGAAACATCGGTGCCGGCATCGAGGTGATGCCGGTCCGGACTGACAGACAGGGAAACGCGTCCAGAGAGGGTCAGATCATGAAGAGTAAAGGATAATGCGCCGTCATGTTGCACACAATATATGATCGATATGGCTCGGTTCGACTTCATCACTTGACAGCAGCAAACATCTGCCTAGTTATGGTAGTCAATGTGCCATTAGCGGCTAAACAACAGCTATACTAGCAACCGTTTTGTGGTAGGCATATCACTCATATCACTACGCAACATTAACAGTGCAGCAAAGCTATGGAGACACACAGTTCTCACACGACGCACAATGTCACACACACAATAACACTCGTTATCGCCACCTATTGGCGACCCACGGGACGAGGTGACCCCGTGCCGCTACACCATCCCCTCCCCAGACATATCACAATCGGAGGGTGACATATCGAACGCTGTAACGCACTGGGGGAACCACTTCGCGGCCATAGCGCGTACGGACGGCCGAACGGGCTGGGTGCTCAGTACCGTCCTCATTTGGCGGGGAGCACTGGGGATCATTGCGCGGCGGCGACTGGCGTCCAAGGAGATCCGGACGCATCTCGCCCCGCGTAGGACGCACTGGGTAGCGTCTTGAGTTTGCCGCTCTGGCGACGGAGCAGCAGCAGCCTTCAGGCCATCTACAGGAACTGCGTTTGCAGCCGGCGGGCGAGCTGGCCCGGCGGCTGCAAGCTGGCCCGGCGAGCTCTCGTAGATCGGTGGTGGATCCAGAAAAGCTGGCTTGATGCGGTCGGCAGAGACAACTTCCTCTTCGTCCTTGCGCCGGATGGTCACTGTTTTCGATGACCGCCTGCACACGGGGAACGGGCTGTCGTAGGGCGGCTCTAGCGGTGTGGGTGAGGCGTCTCTCCGGACGACAACCTGAGCGCAGTCCAAGAGTTCTTCGGGAATGAAGGCGTTCGTCGATGGCTGCTGGCGTGGCTGCACCGGACGGAGTTGCCGCATGGCTCGCCGGAGGGGGTCGACGTACGACGCCGGGTCCAGCAGTACCTTGCAGAGTTGGTGACTGGGGAACTCCCCTGGGAGCCGGAGTGTTGTACCGTGGACGAGCTCCGCAGACGTGCAGCCCAGGTCTTCTTTTAGAGCTGAACGCACGCCCAGCAGAACCAGTGGTAGGAGATTGGTCCAACGAGTGGCCGCATCTGCCGCTCGCATCTACAGCTGTCGATGGAACCTCTCCACCATGCCGCTACCCTGCGGGTGGTAGCTGGTAGTACGATGCCTAGCGCAGCCAAGAAGCGCCAACAGGTGCTGCCACAGGCCGGGCTCGAGCTGGGCACCGCGGTCAGTGGTGACCTGTGCCGGCACTTCAAACCGAGCCATCCAGCCGGCGACGGAGGCGTGGGCGATCGTGACCGCCCGGATGTCCACCACAGGGATGGCTTCCACCCAGCGGGTGAAACGGTCGATGCACGTAAGGATGCACGTGGCTTGAAATGGTTCCTTTGGCCTTGAGCATGTCTTGCTTAAATGGAGTCTGAAATTTTGGGCTCTTTATTTTTCTTCCTTCATGATCATGTTTTATTGAGGATCACACCAGGGGCAGCACCACAGATTTCGAGTTGGGGGGCAGGATTCTCTGAGGATATCAAGGACAAAGTAGGGCCTTCTCATAGTGGGGCTTGCTGCTCTGTGTTATATTGGAGGGGAGGACACCAAGTGCATGTACCCTCTTATAAAGCATGTACTATATTCAACATGTACTATACATGTACTATACATGTTCAACATGTACATGTACTATATTCAAGTAAACAAAAATGGACCGAAAAGAAATTCAAATTGGAGAGTCTTCTGGTTATCCAGCATGTCTCGCCACCTTTGCACTGTGGTTTTAGACGCATTCGTATGATGCACTCTTGCATTACGATACGTTGCAGTGCCTGTAACACGAAGAGACGAAACACCCACCGATATGAGCCCTGAGTGCGAAAGTCCACCTACAGGAGTAAATATTTATTGGCCCGCTATCGGCGTTAGCGCCTCTCCGGGGATTATCAGAGCGGTTGGTGGGAGGATTAGGCTCCGCGATGTGTTGCCGCACCGCAGTTCTTGTGAAAACGGTGAACCCATCTATGTCCAATCTTTGTGTGCGCTTTCAACAATATGAAGCGTCCAAACAGGTGTGCATCGGTCGTCGACTGTTTCGTCTGAACTATTCAGTCGTTAAACGTTAGTTAGCTAATCCTGAGTATACCCGTTGATCTACCGTCTCATCATGAAAGCGCAGCGTGGTTGCTAGTGGCGCGGTGTTCGCGCTGGTCAGGCGATCGCTGACTTCGATTTCCAACGTTATGTCGAATGACGTCAAACGCTCGGTTTGCGTCAGTCGAAATCGTTTGGTGCCGACAATTGTTGCTGTCGTTCCTGCCGTTCCACGATATTCCCTGTTCGCACGCGGCGACGGATAATGCATTACCTGTAAGACACGTCACTCCGAAATGGGGTGAGGTTGTCGGAGGCGCTTGCCGGCCTTGGCTGAGCCATTGTCGGGCGATGTCTGTATCCACCACCGGATTATGGCTGAATGGTGTCCGTGGACAGAGCCTCGCGCCGATTACGAAATGCTCCGGTGGAGCAGTGCGTTGCATGTCGCTGGGCGATAATGCAGCTGGAATGTCCGGTATCGCCGCGGCAGCGGATTTGATGTGCTCAAATTGGTGCCAAGGCGATGGTCGCCGGTACATATAACTGAATCGCCCGCAGTAGCGGACTGTTTAACCCATTTGTACTCCGAGGCATCAGTCTAACTGTGTGTTAACACAACATTTAACACCAATATAAACACGTTGCAAAGAACCAGTGCTTGGTTTCTGCATGCATTATAACGCTGAAGTGTAGTTATCAATAAGTGTGGCCCCATAAAACCGCGACGGTTGGAAATTGGCGTGGGCATCTGGTATGGCTGGCTGCGGAAATCGTCCCGTCATAATGCCTATGCTCCAGTCTGCGCAGCTTTGTTTGGCTTGTAGTAGTAATTTGACGGAGACCGGAAGCGTTACGGAAAGTGGTGACAGCGTAACCATGGGTGGTCAGTCGCATCTCCAAACCGAAATCGACTGACCACCCTCAGCAGCGGCTGACGGTCATATGGACGGTGCGATTTTGGCAAACGCACTCTTTATACACAGGAAAGGTGGATGATTCGACGTGTGTGCATTGTTCCGAAGCTTTCGAAATGTAGCAGGCCTCCTGCAGCTCTTGCCATCACGTATCGTGCCGCCTCTCGTGTTTATTGCCCTGAAAGCACCGCCATCTATAGGAGGAAACTCGAATCTTCCCTCCGACGGTTTCATTGTCATCTTCTGCCAAAATCGGTGGCTGGTGCGCACCGCATTGATTTTGTTGCACGCGGTAAATGGACCGTCGCAGCCGTGTAATGCGCGATGTGCTCGGCCATAAAATGGCCGTAAAGGCGGAGATGCGCCGGGAGTGATGGCCGCCGCGCTACGGCGGCCGGGCCAGCATTTGTCTGGATCGGGAGCTCGCGGCATCGCGCCGACTCGGGTGTCTCGAGCAGCGTCTTCTCTCTTCTCTCTCTCTCTCTTCTATCTCTCTCTCTCTATCTCTTCTCTCTCTCTCTCTCTCTCTCTCCGCTCTCTCTCTCTCTCTCTCTCTCTCTCTCTCTCTCTCTCTCTCTCTCTCTCTCTCTGTCTCTGTCTTGTCTCTGTCTCTCTGTCTCTGTCTCTGTTGTCTCTGTCTCTGTCTATGTCTTGTCTGTCTCTGTCTCTGTCTCTGTATCTGTCTCTTGTCTCTTGTCTTGTCTCTGTATCTGTCTCTGTCTCTGTCTTGTCTTGTCTCTTGTCTCTGTCTGTCTCTGTCTCTGTCTCTGTCTCTGTCTCTCTCTGTCTCTGTATCTGTCTCTGTCTCTGTCTATTGTCTCTGTCTCTGTCTTGTCTCTTCGGTCTCTGTCGCTTGTCTGTCTCTGTCTCTGCTCTGTCTATGTCTCTGTCTCTGTCTCTGTCTCTGTCTCTGTCTTATGTCTCTGTCTCTGTCTCTGTCTCTGTCTCTGTCTTGTCTCTGTCTCTGTCTCTGTCTCTGTCTTGTCTGCTCTGTCTCTGTCTCTGTCTCTGTCTCTGTCTATGTCTCTG